GACAATCTCAGTGAGTGAGTGTCCTAATGATATTCTGACGATGAGAGTGTTTGCTAGTTCTGAGAATGCCCATTTGTAATATTTTGCCTGGGTTCTTGGAGCGCCCTCCAGTAATATTTTCACATTGCATGTCAGGTGTGATCCATTTGTGATATTGTACCTGGAAACTTAGTGATCGCCCCCTAGTGGTGTTGTGACTTGTTAGATGTGAGAATACCCAATTATGATACATAGGTTTGTAAATTGCCTTTATTTGTATTTTTATATTTATTTCAGCATTAACCTACTAAAACTACCAGAGTATACCAGTAAAGAAGATCTGAAAAACAGAGTGTCAGTCGCATTACAGTGTGGAAGTGTAGGGTATGGTCTAACCTAGAAAACAGCAATATAGTAAAACAGGAGAGGCAATTCCCCCAACACATATTTCAATATGAGTGAACATATGGTTTCAACCTTGCACACTAGATGCTAATTGCTGGTTCAGATAGAGAGAAATACAATATATAATTGTACCATTGTAGAGTCCTAATTGGACACTGTCATTATGACATGTGAGTCCCACCAAACGATGTCATCATAACTGTACATTTACGTATGTGAGTCCCACCTAAGAAGAATATTCAAAAGCAAAATGCTGCATTCACAGATAAACTTTAATTGTTTAATTCATCATATATGTTAACAGTTTTTTTCTCAAAATGAGACAGCATGTTTTCCACTCATTGCCATATAGTGCTTGGGTTGACTGTATAGTGTGCATAATGCATCAGTGAATAACAACCAGCTAGGGGAATGAGAAACAGTACTAGAACAGAAGAATAATTATGGAAATTCATGCAAATTTTGGCTTTTTGTTTAATCTCTGCTAATGTCTCCAGTATATAGCTAATTGGCTGAACAAACAAATGTAGTGTTTATAATTATGAAAATACAGTACATGTTTTTATATGCAAAGTTTCTTATCGATTACACCATTGTGATTATCTGATTATATCTCAATGAAAATGAAAGATAATATTTGAATATGTATTTTTGTTGTCTTATTATTTCATATGAAATTATATTTTTGACTATAACTTATGTTTTATTAAAAGTGACAGTTGCTGATCACATAAATTATTTTACATTTATACAAATGCTTATTTATGCCCATTATTTATGTTTTCATTTCTAGAACTAGGTTTTGAAATGTGTGATGAATTTTCTTCCATGCAATGCCATATCTGTTCTATTAGAAGTGTATACCAATAGAGGGCGCATACAAGTTACAAATGTTCTGGTGGAATTTTAACTCTTCTACACTTGGTGATTTTATAGGTAATGTTAAATTTTAACATTCAATGTAAATGTATGGGTTCTAAAAAAGCAGATACGGTACAGGGTTCTTACAGAAAGAATGATCACATGGTTTATTTTAATTTGTATTTCCAGTATACTAGTAATTTACACAAACACTGTCAGTATCCGTTTTAGAGGCAGGGTATTACCTAAAAAAAAATAATACAAATGAAGGCAGGGTATTTCTTTTATCGGAAAAATCATGAATTAAAATTGTGGCCTGATCGAAAAAAAATAGATTTCATATGTTTTTGAAATATTTATACACAAAATAAACAATATAATTTGTCAGTTTTTCTACATTTATATATATGAGTGCTATTGCAGTGTTCAAGTATATGTTGGGTTATTACATCTTTACCTATGAGCTGTAATGGATTCACATGTATGTTATGGTATAATACTGAAACTACTTTATATTTTAGCTGGAATTAATTTTCACTGAAAATACTTTTTTTTGGTGTTTTGTATGGAGTTTATTTTCACTGATTTTTGATGAGTTGAATGTAAAACAGGTAGATTCGCTAGATCTTATTTTCATTGAATCATCCCTTCGAAAAAAAAAGTCAAAATAAATTCTAAGCGAAAATAAAGTATTTTTTACAGTAAATAGTAGTGGGTAATCCTAGTCCTTGATAATTATTCAATATAAAAAAAATTTGCGTCAATCATCATTGAGAAACAATATTTTTTCAAACCGTCTGATGTTGAATAATTACTATGATTAAGGACTATTAATATCTACTACCATTTTACGAATATTTTGTAAAGAACATAAACTAATGTTTTTTTAATTTAATAGTAATGAATAAGTGCAATGTGGCCAAATAGTTGTCACTGCTATTAAAATGCAGTTTTGAAATGGTTTTGAGTATTTGACCAATGCATGTATTGTAAATTATTACATGTGAAATATGAGCAATTTTGTGAATTTTTGTGAAATATTCTTAAGAACTGTGCATTTTAAAACGTTGATTACCGGTAATAAACTTTATTTGATTCTAATGTCTTGCATTGTTTTAGAGTAAGTATCCCGCTTGAATTCCTGTTCAGAAATTGAAAATGTTCAAATATAAATAACGTTTATAATATAAACTGGTAATGTATTTATATTTCATATTGCATGTTTATGATCATTTTCCAAGTATCCAGTTAGTAACATGTCGCCCTCAACCGTCAGTTTTGCAGAGGTTGTACAAGGCTGATTTCTCAGACACTCCAAGTTGTGGTGTCTTTTCGGTCAACACAATCTTCCATTATTGCTACAATTTATTCTCTCTATAATTTGTAGCTATCTTTGTTGAATGATGGCAGACACATTATTTTCATTTTCACATCCATGAGCAATAGAAACAACACATTTTCAACATGTGTCCATTTCCAGCAAGTTTGAGATAAAAAAATATACCATTAGAAAAATAAAATGCATCATTCAGTGATGAAGCTACAGATGAGGCAAGATCAACCAGCACATGTTGAATTGACTGTGAAATGTAGTTGTTACCTAATTGGCTCAAATTAATTGAATGTTGTACTGTCACCATAGTATAGCCCACAACATCAAATATTTGATACTTATTCCACTAGAAATATTAAAATAAAAATGTAATTCTAATCACAGTAGTAAAGAATACAAATAATTAACAGTGAGTTGCCTAGTTGAAATAGAATTAAGGTAGAGATGCAGTTTACCTAACAGGTATTTTAATTAGTTAATTGGACAACCAAGATGACCTCCCTTGTCCACAAAACTATACATTTTCGAAAAGCTTATTGTATGAATTTTAAAATTTTGTTAGTATTTTTTTTATGGACACTGTAGTTTGAAATGTGCACAAAAATGTGCTTTTTTGGTCAAAAGTGATTTAAAAAAAAATTAGCTTCAAAAACCATGCTTCTGTTTCCTGTCAAAATTGGTTCATGGGTACATCTGTTTAATATGAAGAAAGTGCTGTCTTGAAAACTGTTTACCAGTTGTCAATTTTGCAGGGCAGCAGCTCAAATTTCACTACTTCAAGTTTATGCATAAATTAACACCCAGGCTAGTTGTCTGTACGATTGTTGTAACACTGTTCAACCAACAACAATGCCCCGTCGGCGTTTTGAAGATAAACACATTGTCAATCATTTGTGAAAATTTCAAAACAAAGGGTCAAAGCGTCTCGGAGCTATTTTTTTTAAAGTTCTGGGATGTGCACTAAAAAGAAGCTGAGATAATACACTCAGTAAGAAGTTTGCTAATGTTCATAATTAAAATGGCTGTAACAGTTCCAAATTTAAATGTATTATCGTTTTGTTAAAAGTTAAATATAGTGCGTAATTTGGAGATCCCGTCATTTCTTTTTTTCACTATGTTTCTTTTTTATTATTTATGTACAGCCTTGCTAAATCTTGCCAAGCACTCAAAAGAGAGAATGTTTGCACCTGTTATCTATATTTTAAAATCGTTTTTTGAATATGTTCCATTATTCACAATTCTACAAAATTTTAACAGTCTATAGCCAAGACTGTTGGATAATAAAAAGAAAACAAAAAAATTTCACTCCCAAGTGCCCCCGAACCTGCATCTCCACCTTAAGTGAATTATAATGAATACCAGAATCTCCTGGTGGGGATAACAGAAAATATTTTTTTTCAAACTAGTCTGGTCTGTGATTCTGCCATTTTGAATGTTTGAAGTGGAGTGTGTGCCTACATATATACCAAGAAGTATGTGTTGTAACTTGATCTTAACTCTGAAACCAGTGTTTTAAATTTTTTTTTTAATTGAGCTGTAAAATTCTTGTTTGAATATAGTTTCAATGTGGTCAGTGATTGAGTGTACGATTTGTCCCAGAAACGTACAGCTTGTGACTGGTTACATGGCTAGTTGGGTAACTATGGGAAATAGGTGGGAAACAATAATCAAAAATAAAAAAAGACGTGTGGAATATTTCGGTTGCTCAAAAAGTGAAGGAGAATAGAAGTTTGAAAAAGTTATTAATCGGACGATCTTTTTCTACAGAAAAAATAGGTTGAAGCAAAGAAGTGAAAGCTTTTCCCCTGATTTCTACAGTAGCTTAGATGAGGCTAGATTAAATTTTTATATAACTGAATGACACTGAGGAATTTGTGAAATAATCCCTATTTTTGGGACAATCGTTTTTTTCAAACTCTCTTTATACGGGCCTTCCAATTTATCTGTTTGTCAATGCTCACTCCGAGAAAATGGGTAGAGTTAACGTCCCCAATGATTGAACCAAACACATCAATATTTCCCTCCATTCTCACAACCCTATGTGGGTTTTCTTTTTATCATGTACCGGGTTTGGTCAATATTTATAGTAAGTTTGTTAGCACTGCACCATTCATACATTCTTTGTAAGTCATTGTTAATTACAAATGAGATACTTGTACTGATCTTAATAAATTTGGATAAATTGGTATCATCGGTGAATAGTCAAATATTAAATACCTTAGTTGAATTAACAATTTTATTGATGTGAACAAGAAAGAAAATATGACACCGAACAGATTATTGTGGAATTCCACAATTAATGATGAGTTATGCGTCGACGAAATATTGTTTATGGTAACGAATTGTTGTCGATTATAAAGGTGGTTGGCAGTAGCAAACCTATCATTCCGTAATGTTCAAGTTTCGATAAAAGGATATTATTATTGATAGTGTCAAATGTTTTTTTAAAATTAATAAATACACCAAAAGTAATCATGCCATTTATTGTCCATGTATTGTACATATCTGACTGACAGCAAGTCTACTAGGGATAGTTTTGTATTACACCTTTGTTTTTGGAATCCAAGGTGTGTGCTCCAAAGTATCTGTTTTTTTCTAAGTAAATGAAAATGTTTTTATTAACAAGTGATTCAACGATTTTGCTGAAAATAGCTAAAACAAATTGAAATCAGTCGGCAATTTCCAGCTTCTACAGTGTTTCCTTCACTTTCAATCAGTGAACAATTGATTGCGTTACCCGGCCCAAGGGACGACAAATGACCGTGACATCGGCGACATGTTACACCAATTTTGGGTGAATCTGTACACTTCCGTGGATCCACCAATTTATAGTTATTCTCAGCAACTCAAATTCAGTGGACTGGGTGAAAGAATTATAGTGGTTGCTGTTGAGATACTACAGCTGTTCATCACTACTGCTGCCTCTAAGTTCGCGTAACATTGTATGGTATAGAGGATGGAAGAGCGCCGCCATACGACACGTTTGTGACAGTCTTCATTCAACAAAACAATAACAAGATTATATTTGAATCGTAAATATTTATTGAAAGATGTAAAAATGATTACTTAAATTATCTTTCCTGAAACTTTTAATTCGGAATTATAAAATAGTTCCAACAACAACAACAACATGATAATATTATTTCAACTTTTGAAAGCTACCAAAACGACGATATTTGTGCATATCGTGTACACAGATCTATAGTGTAACCTCCTGTAGAGAGCTTTGTGACCTGTACGGTGACACACATACTACAAACACTGGTGGCGCTATGTCAGAATATTGGCAAATACCAGATGACAACTGTATTACATACCTATGCTTGAAGATTCCGGGATTCCAACAGTGAAATAAATGTTGCTTTGAAAATCATTTGGTAATAAATAAAATACAAATGTCATGTTATATGTAAAGAAAAATTGCCAGAAGATTACTTTCACACCACTCCGGTTATACAATCTAATATGGTAACAAGTATTATTGTTTCTATAAATAATTGCTGTATTGGTCGTAGTAAACTCTTGAGGAATCGACTGGTTGCCCAGACCGGTCATTTGATGGAATGCCCCTTTACGATGCACGTCAATGCACAAATATGACTTGATTTTTTGTATTTTGTTATACGACGAAACGACATGTGTACAGATGTATGTATATGATATTAAATAGGTCAACAGTTCACCTGAATAACCCGTCATGACCCATATCAGGTGGGACTTCAATTATACTACTTCAAAATCGAGTAATAATGCACTGTGAATATGTGTATGTGTTTGCCCAAAATTTCCCAGTTCTCAATCTTGTTTGATATTTTGACTTACTAGTATTAGTATTAAATAAACATAAGTAACTACAATAGTTTCCATGTGGCCAGTGTTCAAGTTCTACTACACACCACACTATACAATATGTTTCTATTTACTAGCTGAAATATGTTTTACACGATTAGCAGAAATACTTAGATAAAAATGTACATTTTTGCATGCCCGTTGATCAATAATAATAATACTTTTCGAACAATCAAATGATATCTGATTCATCAAAACCATTCATTATCTCTTACTTTATAAATAGTAAATTATGTAAATGATTTACTAGTAACCAGTGATCGACTTGTCTTGAATTTTAAGTAAAACGACTATTCGGCAGTTGTTGATTACCTCAGAATAATGCACAAGTTTAAAGCGGGGGTGTCGTCACCTGCGCATGTGTCAGATGGCCATAGCGTCATTGTTTACAAACAAGCGTC